ATTTAGTTCCTTGGTTTTCTACAGTTTTTCTTCTATATGTACTAGCAGAAATACCCGCCCTCCGGGCAGGTACAACTGCTAGTTCCTGCTGAAGGTTACTGGGCCTGAGGCCTTTTCTAGAATTGTCTGGTTAAGGTATGTAGATGTCTCGTTTTTGGTGTAGTTGAGGCATATAGATGTCCCGTTTTTGGTGTGGTTAAGGTATGTAGATATACCGTTTTCGGTGTGGTTAAGGTATGTAGATGTACTGTTTTCGGGGTGGTTAAGGTATGTAGATGACACGTTTTTGGTGTGGCTAAGTAGATGTACCGTTTTTGTTGTAGTTCAGGCATATAGATGTCCCGTTTTCGGTGTGGTTAAGGTATGTAGATGACACGTTTTTGGTGTGGCTAAGTAGATGTACCGTTTTTGTTGTAGTTCAGGCATATAGATGTCCCGTTTTCGGTGTGGTTAAGGTATGTAGATGACACGTTTTCGGTGTGGCTAAGGTATGTAGATGCCTCGTTTTCGGTGCGGCGGAGTGACATTGACATATTAACGCAGTTTGAAAGACATCTCAGTTCGATCAGTCCTACTGTTAGATTTACACTGGAGATGGAAAAAAGAGGGTCAGTAAATTTCTTAGACATGACCTTTAAACGGGATAATGGGCGCCTCTCAACCTCTGTTTATAGAAAACCGTTTTCTGCGGCTGTACCACCAGACAATAGATCGTGTCGTCTACAGACACAAAAATTATCCCCATTTTCTATATTTGTATTTAGAGCTTTAAAAATCTGCATTCACGATTGTGATTTGAGATCAGCGTTAATTTTCTTGAAACGTGTAGTTAGAGATAAAAGATATAATCCCGAAATCATTGTTAGATTGTACAAAAACATAGCAATAAATTAAAACTGTCATCATGTACAAAGTTAAAGGAAAAGTTGATAACATGAGGGTTTGTTTGCCGTAAGTTCAAGGTTTACCAACAAGAATAGGTAACATATTAAATAAATATAGAATGTAGTGTAACACACTCTCCACGTTAAAATAAAAATAGAATAAAAGATAGAGTAGAGCAAGTTGATAAATGTGGGATTTATAAAATTCCTTGTGTCTGTCGTCAAATTTACATTGGCCAAACGCACATAAAAATGCGGCAGAAAAATATAAAGTAAATGAGTTGGCCTTAGTAGAACATGTGGCAGGCATATCCCATGTTATAGACTGAAGTAATGTTAAATTGATAAATCAGGTAGAGATGGAATTTGAATGAAATATTAGAGAAACAATAAAAATTGGAAAAAAACAAATATTGTGTTAAACAAAGAAGTTGGTTGAGATTTAGAAGAAACGAAGTAATGGAAATATGTCTTATAATAAACGCTGGGTGTTTAAGTCTAGATGGTTTCAAAGGTATGCAAATAATAGTTAATTTATATAAGTCTTTTACTCCTGAGGATGGTAGCGTAAGAACACCGAAACATAAATATAAATGTATCCCACACTTTAAAAAATTTAATATTCGAAAACAGCTAAAATGGGATAGAAAAATATATCATTCAAAAACGTTTCGCCACTGTTAACGTGGCATCGTAAGGTAGAGTCTTTTTTAGGGCTGGTCTCTGTCGTGAATAAATGATTTATTTTGTAATTATTTGTGCGTTGTACTCCTTTTAATTGTATATATATATATATAAAGTACTGGATATACATTCTATAAACTCTGGGTGTTTTAATTCTAGACGGCGCTAAATATGTCTGTCATCGGGTTCATTACTGTACTTGCTGGAAAACCGCGATAATCACAGTTATACAAAAAAAAAGGGTCCCAAATCCAATAACCCTGATTTTAGACCCATAAGCTGACTCATGGAGAAAGTAATCTTGACACTATGGTTTTTAGAGACCAAACATTTCATCATTGATATTCAAAACGCCAGCAGGAAAAACAGACGAACCACTGATCACTCAGTAAAGTTAACTGAATCTGTTTATCGGGGTTTTAACCGTGACCGTGCAACTATAGGGCTATTTCTAGACGTCATAAATGCGTATGATACAGTTTGGCACAACGGGTTAAAATATAAACTAATTAAATACAACATTCCTGATACTATTGTACTATTTGTTTCTAGCGTCTTACATGACAGGTCACCCAAAGTCCACATTACTAACGTACTGTCTAATTTGTTTACATTTAGTGCAGGTGTACCGCAAGGCTCCGTACTTCGCGCACTGCTTTCCATAATGGATGTAAACGACTTGCTTTAAGCCACGTGATCCATATCACCACATACCGCTGTACGCAGACAATATCGCTGTTTGGAGTACTTCATTAGATCCATCATGCGCAGCTCATAAAGTACAAACACTTTTAAATAAAACTGTCAAATGGAGGATGAAGCTCAACATTGGCAATAATATTTCATAAAAGGTTAAATTAAAAATACCCTCGCCTGAAGAAAGGTAACACTAAAACTAGAAAACTCACCTATTAAAATCACTGAAAACAAAATTCCTCGGTGTAAGTTGGAACAACAAATTCAAATACCCCCTCCCCCATTTCAATCAATTAATACTCAAAATACGAGCTAGAATTAATCACCCGCATAAAATAGGACCCAAAATACACGGCTGCAGTTTACACACAATATTTTTATTTACAAACTACTCATCAGACCAATTGTAGACTATGGAGCCATGATCACATGTAATATAGATAAGAACTACAAACACTACAAAACCGTGCACTACGCATTGCCCTCAGGCTACCCTTACAACCATTACAAAACCGTGCACTACGCATTGCCCTCAGGTTACCCTTACAAACACTACAAAACCGTGCACTACGCATTGCCCTCAGGCTACCCTTACAAACACTACAAAACCGTACACTACGCATTGCCCTCAGGCTACACTTACACACTCCCGTGTATTATATCAACAAAACTGCGCTTCTGCTTTCAGTCAAGAACAGAATAACCAAACTAGCCACAAAATTTTACCGAAAAGCCAGAAATGGAAATTCACTCGCACCACAATTTCCCATCCTAGCAGCCACACCCCCATACAACATCATACACAACAAACGGCATAATTCAATACCTCTGTTTCCCATCCTAGCAGCCACACCCCCATACAACATCATACACAACAAACGGCATAATTCAATACCTTATCATCAAGTACCTTATCTTTTAACAAAACATCATAGTATTCTATATACATTTAACATGTTTTAATCCTTTCCTTGGGCACTAGTTGGGCTTTCATTCGGCCCCGACTAGTGAAACCGGGTTTCTCCTCGCATCAAAATTATATGACTTTGAATCTATAGATCTCAGCCAGGGCATTGGATTTATAAATCTCAGCCCGCCCTGAAAAGGTGCCGTTTGTTGAGAGTAAGCATGGCCTTATGTTTGCCTCTGTATGTATGTATCTATATGTATTTATACTTAATTAGTTAATTATCCGAATACCTTAGTGCCTAACACCCATCTATTAAGTTCACATCCGCACTCGAAGAAAATTAATCTTTAACTTTTCTAGACATCAGGATTACCAAAGAAGGTAAACATTTTTCTATCGTAAAAGTACTTTCACAGGCCTTTATACTAATTTTAATGTTTTTTGTCCCCAACTTCTTCAAACGAAATCTAGTCATGTCACTGTTAAACAGATTTTTTTATTTTTTCTCGAATTACTCTGTTTTACACAGAGATATTACACTTCGACACAAACACATGTTAAATAGTTGCTATTCGACTAGCTTTTTAAGAAATATTACTTGCAAGTTCCGTCTACCGGCTACTGTGCACACTATTCAAATTTTTTCCTCTTTTATCTTCCTTTTATGAGCTCACAATTCTTACAAAACAACTCCTCTCTTTAATAAAAAAATTTCAACCCTCAAGTTCAGCTCAGATTAATATATAGATCTAGTTTCTGCATTAAACACTTGTTTCAATATAAAGATCAAATACATAAACTTCTACGTTTATGGCTCGTGTATAAACATACGTGTATCGTGACTATATTATATATAAAAACTTATATATATATATATAAACTATAATAAAGAAGGTCTACTCGTAGCTAAAGATCGCCTACTCTTAATGACTTACAAACCTCTTTAGATCTAAAATTATTCTAAATACACACACTTAAAACTCAACTGTTAGTTGAGAATAGTTAAAATTGTCTCATGCAACTTCTAATTCATGATACATTCGTAATATGGAATCTCTTTTTTTCCTTCCGATTGCCACTTCACTCAGAATTTAGGTGCACTAGTTATTAATGGTACTATAGCATGTGCATTTGTTAATACATATTGCCCGGCATGGCCAAGTGGTTAAGGAATCTGAGGGTCGCGGGTTC